ATGTTTCTGCCTCCTGGTGCCCATCACTCCACCACCTTCCCTTAATAAATCCTGTTTCCTTTAACCCTTCACCCCGTCTCCCTTTTCGTTTGGGTCCACCCGCACTATCACGAGCACGAGTCGTCACAATGTAATCCCTCTGGTAAGTTTTGAGTCCCAAATGGACAAGCCCAGAAAAACTAAAAAAAGGAAGATACCCACAGGTGTCCTTGGATGGCCGAACCATTGCAACAGTCCAGTGCAACGCCCATGTTATCGTTGATGCAGCACCAACTGGTCAGTCTAGCTCAAGCCCCATTTAACTGGTACTTGTTGACGAGAACCCGACATACTTACACCCCTTTCCCCCATAAATTTGCCATCTTAACTTAGTTAACGCAGTTCCGTTGTCTCCTAGGAGGCAAAAGCCACTGGTTGGGTCTTCTCGGTCAAACTGGCTGCAGGGAAGGGAACCCTCACTGACTCTAATGAATGGTCCACAAAGGGCGACAGCACCTTGGGAACCCACCAGCCACTGTCTCCTAGCTAAGGTTTGATTGATGTGGCTCGGCTGGAAAGAGCCTGAAATGACAACATGGAACCATTGCTTTGCAGGCCAACCACCCACACGGATAAGCATTGGGGTTGATAACACAAGTGGCAGGAGGACCTAGATGCTGACTCCTAGCATCACAGACTGGACGTACGGTCATGGAATATATAGGTCACTTAGCTTCATTCATTTTAAGTCTGATTTCAAGATGAGACATCATTTCAATCTACTCATGTATCTTTGACCATTTCCCAAATGGCACACTTGACAATATAGCTTCAGTAAACTTGAGAGCATATACACACACAATACACATGGTGTTACGTTGGGTTGGACAATTCAGCAAATTCTTGTCTCTCAAGAATGGCGAAGGTGTGACTATTGTTTTGCTCAAAACAGAGCTGTAAACACAATGGCATCTCACGAGTGCTTTTTGTTTTTCAAGAGGTAAATGGCAAGTTGCATCTTGTTGCCATTAGAACTTGTGCATGGTCACTCATCATACACATTTAATCCCATTAAATAACTGATAACTTGCTTTGTCTTTCATTCCACTTCAACTTGACTCATGATGTTCCTCTGAAGGTGATGTTGCTGCAAGAATTTGCTGATAAAAGTCAACATTGTGACGACAGAAACCTTTAAGTACAATGTGAATATAGTATCTCCTTTGATTATGGGTTCAAGAACAACACTGGCTATAGCAAATGGCATTTTTATAAACCGCTGAATTGCTAAGATAAGAGAAAATCCAAACAATCCTGATGGTTGCCTTCCTTTTAAACACAAGGTCCAACTATTTCTGTTGATACTGCAGAGTTTAAGATAATGCCTTTCAACCTTCTGCTCCTTCCTCAGAGATCTGCTGACCTCTACCCCTACATTTTCTGCTTTCTGTCTCTTTTAGTGTAGCAGGGGTTGTGGTTGTTGGCAGGATGTAAGCATGTTACTTTCATCATTCACAGATGCTCTTTGAGACAAATAAAAAGGATGCTTTTTGGGGGCTCGTCTTGTCGCAGGACTCATCACCCTAGCAGCCTAGAACACAACCAGAGTTTGTGGTTACCCTTCTGCATTTAGCAAAGGTGTATTTTAACACAAGCAAAGACCTTTTTCTGATGGCATGTTGGTGCCTCATCTTCACCAAGTAGCATTGTCAGATAAAGTGATACAGCAACTGAAAATCAGTGTAAACATCATACAAAGGGGTCAAAATCTAGTCTACAGACTAATGGCACCACCACCATTCCAGGATCCGAATGTTGCTCTTATGTGCAAAGCTAAAGAAACCTGCAAGTCCCATGATATGGACACAGGCCAATAAACATAAATGGACCAAAAACTAAGCAGCCAACCTTGTTGTCTTTCTTCTATCCATTTGCTATACCTGCCTGACTGACACCATGACACCCGTGGGTAGTTAAGAGTCACCAGGTAACCGTTTAACCTTGACAGCTTTTCGAGGTGAAAACAAAATGTTTCCGGCTGTGGAACAACTTTGCTATTACATGTTTCAGTATGAGAATATGTCAGGATGGACATTTCTGCTTCTTCTCAAAACATTAAGAAAAAATAAATAAAAAAATTCAATACTTCACCTTTAGTTTAACGCTAAAATTTGTCTCTCCTCACAGCAGCCCCAGTGATATCGTTCATTCTCTGGACAGCATAAGAATAGTCTCAGTTATACTGCCACATTGGATTCAACATCTAGGAAGTGATATTTGCAATACTATGCTTCAGGTGTATTGAATAAATCTGTTCATCCTAAGTAGCCAATGCCAATAATGTGCATAGTGATAATGTATTTTTTAGTCATTTAAAACGTAGCACCAACACGAGCAACCATTGTGCACCTCCCTCTCTGTGATTCTATTCAGAGAACCAGATTTTTGTGTAGGTGTGACTGAACTTGTGATCATTTTCCCTATATGGGGCTATAGTCTGGCAGCAGATTGGCCAATCAGACACAGTCTGGTCTTTGAAGAGAACAGGAAAGTCAAGAACCATCTTCATTCAACTCAGCAGTCTGAGCGCAATGACACCTCCCAAGTTTGTTGTGTATCTGACATGTCTGCTCCTGGAGACAATAGGTGAGTTATGATTTTGTAATTCAAACATGCATCAGTTATGATCACTGCTTCATGCAAATGTTTGAAAAGTTTAAATGTACTGTTTTGCTGAATACTTTCATGGAAACTGAATGCTGCATTCTTTTGTCTCATTTCCTATCAGCTCGAGTGGCGACTCAGAAATTCTCATCTCATCGTCAAGAGGCTCGTTTTATATCAGCTGATGTTGGTG